ATCGCTTTATTCTGAAGTAGTTCTACCTATTACCGTCAAAAAAAGGGTACCCTTACTTTTTTGTTAACAGTGCCTTTAAGGAGGCAAATGGTCCGCGACAACCGTGTGCGATGAATTGGCTACAAAAAACCATTTCTACTGTCCATCTCCCCACGTTGACCAAGGCGGTTTAGAAGCCCTTACAGCGCCCTGTCAAGGAGGTAGTTTCTCGACCCGACAATTTCCCACGTGCTATCCTTGAGAGCCAAAAATCTGTCCCAAGGGGAATCTCAGAAACCATTCTTATCGTGATCTGTGCCGCTGTGGAAACCGATCTTCGGGATATTCAAAGTGAAAAGTGAAAAAAGTTCCGCGCAGTGGATGTAGCAGGGGATGGCGAGCGGTTGCTATGCACTGCCGGAATCTGGGGCTTTGGGCTACTTTACAAGCCTGTGACCTTTCACAGCTTCTAAGGCTAAAATATTGGATGCGACCAACCAGTGCAAATCCCGTAAGATGATTACATAAGGTAGGTGGGAACAGGAAGGGGGAGGTGAGGCTATAGTATCAGGGTTGTATATAACGTTAGTGGGTCAGTAAAGTTTCTTAGCAATCGTCAGGCCCTTATTCGGAACAGGTCCTTATTCGGTATAGTCCGTCAAACGTTCCCTAAATAGGTCGCCTTTTTTGTCTTAAACCTTGGAACTCATACTCGACTCTGTTCCACAAATTGGATACCAAGCATAACGTCGTCCACAGTGTCTACTTACCGCCAACCACCTCAACCTAATTACCATAAAGTTCCCATAGCTTTTCTTTCAGGGCCGAATTTCCTACTACTTGAAAATCACCTTTGCTGGTCTATATCTACTCTCAGCACCCATCTTGGTTGGAGCTTTTCTCCTTTACTGGAAACAATGTATTACCTGGGGTAAGTAGTCTCATTCTCAAAGTTCTACAAGAATTTCCTTATTTCACTAGTATTTTTCCTACTTTACTTCAATTTTGCTAGTTGTTTTCATCAATCTGTAACTGATTTTATTGCGTCCATACTTTAGCTTATGATGTCTTTGCCATATGCGAGTACTGCGGGGTATTCCTTAATATATGTTTTCATGGCTGCGCATTCTTCGACATTCGCTACAAGGTTTGCTTCAGGTAAATGCAAGATCTTTCATTTACTCATTTTATGTGTTCCTTTTGAATGTTCAAATTTAAAAATTTAATAGTCACTGTCCAAAGCACTCCACACCCTTCTGTCAATGGATTTGCTACTACACTAGGAAGACCACCAAAGAAGGATGGGAAATTTTGACTAAGTTGAAAATAAAAGCTTTGAAGTAGGCGATTCATCCGCTTTCGGAAAGGGATGGCGCTTGGCCGAAAGGGAAGCTTCGAGACACAAAATTTCTCTTTTTAGCTTCCGAACAGTCTACAGGCACTGAAACAAGGAGTGGAGGTATGCGTAGGATCAGTGGCTAAGATGAAAAGAATCATCCACGGTGGGTGGGAAGTGATATCGCAACCGTACGTATGGTCTGGGTCTCTAAGCCCAAGCCTAATCACCTTCATACCGAAATAAATTCCAGTCTAGTGCTGCCAAATTCGCACGACTAGGCCAATTAAAAGGGTCCTCCTGAATCCGTGTAGATTCACGAGCTATACAGCTAGCCAATAAAGCATTACATCTTCACTACTTGTATTATTTACTACATACTTGGACATTCCCTGATTGCCCCTCTCCGAGAATTTGGCGTTTTGGGGGTTAATCAGCTCTAGCAGTCAGTCAGAAGAGGAAAGGGAGACTCAGAGCGAAACGACGACGTGGGAGGAAGACAAACTAAAATCGACCATGTTCTCCTGAGAAAATGGTCCGGCAAACTTGTAACAACAAACTCCCCGGCGAAGAGTTGGTTGCGCAGCCTACTGGTCTTCCAAACCGTCAAGCAAAAGTCCAATATACTACGAACAGCGTAGTTTAGGTCACCCTACAGATTACCAAAGCCTGCGATAGTATGGACACGTGCTGCGAAGACCACGAGGTCCCCGATAAAAGAAACAGTGGCGTTCGAAGAAAACGACGACGATTGGCAAAAAGAAAGTGGCAGAAGTGATTAGAAAGGACCTCACCAAAAACGGCAGCAGAAGGAATCGGGAACAGAAAGCGAACACTGCGAAAGACCCAGACTAACGCTAGAGAGAATTAGAAGAAGTAGGACTAGTGAAAAATGGCCAGATTAGGTTCATAGTAAAGCTCATCAGGAATTTTTGTCATATGATTTTATCAGTGTTTTCTTTTCATAGAAAAATTGCCCTAGTTGGTTTTCATCAACCACTTCATCGAAAAATTCGCCTTCATTCGCTCCCATCAACCACCTTTATGACAAAATCCTCATCATTTCTTTATTCTAAACCTTCGCAACAACGTTCACTTCATTGAATTATTTTGATTGCCGTACTCTACGGAACAGTAACAGTCATTTTCAGTGTCCGTCACACGGAACCCATCAAGGACACGGCGAATGAGTTGCCGATGAAAAATAGTAAAATCAGTCCTGAGATCGAAATGAAAAAGCCTCGAACACAAGGGTGATACGGAAAGCCCGCTATGATGTTGGACGCATCTACAAATGAATCTCTCAAAGCAACAGTATGACATTACGGTAGCTTTGATACAGTAATTCTTGTCGTTTCGCTAGTTTTTTTTATTTTCCCATTACAAACTGTTTTCTATAGATATATAGTTGATGCATCTCTTGTTTGTATATAGTGATAAGCTCGTCTAATGAAATTAATGTTATTTATTGTGTAAACGTCTAATGAAATTAATGTTATTTATTGTGTAAATGTGACGTAATAGGCTCTTCTTACGAAAACTCGTCTTTGTTCATCGTAATCCCTCTAGGTATCCAGCCCTGAGATAGATCGCTAACCAAATGAGCAAAAACTCGTTTTTCCCGAATTTTTTGAACTGATTCTCTGCTGTTTTTTAAAATCACTGTAAAAATCTCTTTCATCGAAATCTCACTACAAAAACTACTTCATTCTTCTTTTCCATTCGTTAGTATTTTTGATAGAAAATTTAGAAGTGGCGAAATCCATCTCGATTACCTTTTTTTTCAAGCTTGAAACTCCTATGAACTATCAAAAGTCGAAAAAATACGTGAATCCTATTGACAAAATCTCGATGACGACTTTCACCAGAAAAATTCCTTTACTGCTGTGATTTTCATGCCTCACTCATTTCCTTCCCTCTG